GCTGGGGATTCAAACCCGCCACCTTAGGTGTATGTGGCTGGCGCCTTAGCCGCTTGAGCCACAGGCGCTGAGCCAACTTCCTTTCCTAGAGAAAGCCCTAGAACAGATGAACTTAGGACCAGCTTATGCTAAATATTCCAAATCTCATTTCAGTCACCTGTACAAAGACACTTCAAAATGTAAATTACTGCTCTAAGTGGACTCATACTTACCAAACTGCTTGTCTTCATTACTGCTGGAATCAAGAGTGAAAATCCAACTGCAAAAATAAAAGATACTTTTTAAAAGAAGGCTACCAGCATCATATACAACCAAACATCAAACATCTCAAGTAAATGAAGAGAACCACCAGAGTTTCTGAAATGCAAAAAGTTTTTAGGACTTTACACCCTTATGAAATTAGGATCACAATAGGGAAGGTAAAAAAAAAAATTAGAAGCAACAAGCTTCTAATTAGTCCTTACTGCCAAATCAAAGATAGGGGAAGAATGTTGGCCAAGTATCATTAACGTCCAGTGAGAAGCCTGTTTTCTGCCAAGTGATTTATTTTTATTTAAAGATATGAAAGTGAATCCTGAAAAGGGGCCATGAGGAAAAAAGGACTTGAGGATAGAGATTGTAGTTAAAAATCAAAAGGCTTAGGGCAGCACCTGTGGCTCAGAGGAGTAAGGCACAGCCCCATATGCTGGAGGTGTTGGGTTCAAACCTAGCCCGAGATAAAAACTGCAAAAAAAAAAAAAAAATCAAAAGGCTTAAAATAAAATTTTGCTGTAAGTTTGACCAGATTAAAAATGGAGATGGTTTAGCAGTACCTGTGGCTCAAGGAGTAGGGCACCAGCCCCATATACCGGAGGTGGCAGGTTCAAACCCAGCCCTGGCCAAAAAAAAAGAATATATATATATATATATATATAAATGGGGGTGGGGAAAGGGGAAAGGAGGTCCTCTTTTAGGGCTTTATCGCTTGAAGAGGGCCTACTGATTGAGATTGCTATCAAGGTGAATGGACAAGGACTCAAGTCCACTTCATAGGGAGCTGACAAAGGGTATTTTCAAAGCTGCAAATGCTCCCTGCAGTGAGCCATGATGTCAGGGCCTCTTGCTTCTCTGCCTTATAATATGCCAGTGGGCCCAGCATTTGTTTTCCACTGCTCTGTACCAGAGCACTTTGCCTATTGCCATTAATTACCAAATGGCTGTCCATACTGTGAAACCAAGTACATTCCTGTGCAAGACCCTTCAGCTCCTCAGACAGCAGCCTGGACTGGATACCTCACTGTCAGCCACTCATTACACAGAACCAAACTCCAGTCTGAGCAACCATGCTGCAGTAAGCATCACTTCAGTGCTGGAGCCTGGCTACATCAGAGGTAATCTTGTCATTAGTTACTTCATATTATGAAACACAGCCACAGAGGATATTAAAATGCCATAAGAAGTGGACATAATAGCTATACGGAAGTCTAGGTGTTACGTATCAACATTTAGATTTGGCCAGCAGGGTAGCTCATGCCTATTATCCTAGCACTCTGGGAGGCTGAGGCGGGAAGAATCACCTGAGGACAGGAGTTCAAGACCAGCCTGAGCAAGAGTGAGACCTTCCCATCTCTACAAAAAATAGAAAAATTAGTCAGACATGGTGGTACACTACTGCAGTCCCAGGTACTCAGGAGGCTGAGGCAAGGGAATCTCCTGAGCCCAGGGGTTGAGGTTTCAGTGAACTATGATGATACCACTGCACTGTAGCCTTGGAGACAGAGCAAGACTGTCTCAAATTAAAAAAAAAAAAGGTTAGATCCTTTTGTAGTTCATAAGTGTGATAATTGGGTTTTCATGTGCATACGTGAGATGTGCCTCCCACAGATCTTATTACGACGCTGGCACATTACCCATCTGACATGAAGAAAAACTTTTTTAAAAGTTTGACTTTATCAATTCCATTTGGCCTAGAGGCTGGGTTCACTGTTTACTTTGTCAGTCTTTCAAGATATATGCTGGCTCACCCTTGATTAGATTTCCTATTAATTTATCAACTGCTGC